CTCGTGTTAAAACAATGGAGTGTTTGTTCACCGTGTGTATAGTGTATAATGCGTAGTATGAACATGGTATGCGCATAGCACGTGTAGTGTATAGCGTTGTGTCGTTTATACTGGGGGCTGTGCACCGAGCATAGTGGTGTATAGTAACAGGTGCACAGAGCATTGTGGTGTATAGTGACTTGTCCTGGGAGGGAGTGAGAGCCCTACTTCGCCTCATCACACATCTTCCACTCCTCCCTTTCCTCCACCGCCCACCACAAGGACGGGAGTTCCCTCTCCTCCCCCTACCACCACCATGAACTACATGCGGTATGTGCCATGCGCCATTTTCCCTTCAGCCTGGGCTTACCACACAGTTTGAGGTATGGCAAATGATGAAGCCAGCCAGCCACAAAGCCAGGGGAACAGTGCACCCAACAATGAAAGAAGAGGCACATGTCAGGTGTGTGGAGAATTTCGAGCACGCAACTGGGATGGCCGCATTCATGCACACAATGGGTGTGCGGGATCACATATGCCCCCAACAGAGAGCAGCCCACAGCTTCCACAGGCAGATGACAATTCCAATGGCAACCTCCTTCTGTTGGCATTCAAATCCACTGCTAACAGTACCCTATCCCACATCCCTAAAGCGGCTCGCCCATATGCAGCAGGGAAATTCACAGACCTTCTTATGCAGGTGAATGGAGGTTCCACCAACTTAGAAGCCCGAGGCACCAGCCAAGCATGGCGCAACCTACTCCTGTTCGGCAATGTCTTGCAGTTCCTGAGAGACGAGGCAAGCTGCTAACCATGTCAGTTATCAAGGCAGTGCGCAACTACCCAAGAACGGATAATTGTGTCCCTCTGCCCCATCATCGCAGGAATCACAAAGGTAGACCCAAGAAAAGTCCCACTGAAAACGAGAAAATTTGCACACAGGTTAGCAAAAAAAATCGAAGAAGGTAACACAGTGGGAGCAATCCGAATAATTACAAGTGACGACACTGTAGCCCCCAAAGATGAGACCACGGCCCAAGCACTAAGAGACAAGCATCCAACGAGGGACACCATAGCCATCAACAACAACCCTGAGGAAGACCCCATCACTGAACAATTAATTTTGCCTGAATCGGAAGTCTATAAGGCGATTGTGTCATTTCCTGCAGGATCTGCAGGAGGTTACACTGGAATTCGACCTCAGCACCTCAGAGATGGAAAATCCAGAACTCGGTGCATCTGCATCACTTCTCACCGAGTTAACAACTTTCGTCAACAACTGCCTGGCTGGGCGAATCCCAGAAGAAATTAAACCTTTCTTTTTTAGAGCCACACTGTGTGCATTGAAGAAGAGAGATGGGGGAATCAGACCCATTGCGGTTGGAAACACACTTCGCCGTCTCGTTGCCAAAGCAGCAGTAAGAAACATTCGCCTAGAAGCTGCCAGTTTACTCCAGCCACACCAACTGGGCTTTGGGGTCTCTCAAGGCAGTGAAGCTGCAGCTCAAGCAACGTATGTTGCTTTACCTGCTTTTCTGTCTTCGTGTTTGGCTTCCAGTGCATTAGTCAAGAAGATTGTTCCTGAACGCTTGAGAGACGTGGTAGGAGCTCAGGTTTACTGAAGCAGCGATTCGGTGGGACACCCTTACAGATTCCTAAAGTAGACCAGCTCCTCCAAAAGAACACAAACAGTCCCACTGGGACAAACCGATCATGGAAAAAATCGCCAACACAATGCTCTCCAACCCCTAAGGAAAGAACAAAGCTCGTCTCCTGGCAGTGAAGGCACCACACTCAGGAGATTTCCTGTTAGCTGTTCCCAATTCCTCCTTGGGCACTCGACTAGACCCACAGGCCATTCGGATTGGTGTTGCTCTTCGCCTAGCCGCCCCCATCCTCACCGAACATAGGTGTATTTGCGGCAGGGCGACAGCTGATCGATTCGGACTTCATGGTCTCGTGTGTCACATGGCAGAAGGGAAGTATGCCAGTCATGAGGAGGTCAGTGACATCATAAACAGAAGCCTCGCCACAGCCCGTTGCCCAGCTCAACGGGAACCCCAAGTGCAAAGGTCTGACAGAAGTTAAAAGCGTAATGATGGAGCCACTATGCTACCTTGGAAGGATAGAAAGCAGATTGCATGGGACTACACCTGTGCCGCCACATTGGCAGACACTTACTTGCCATACTCCGTAGTGGAAGGGGGTGGAGCTGCCAGCCACAGGGAGACCCAGAAGATCCGCAAATATGAAGACCTGCCCCCTTGCTATAACTTCATCCCAATAGGGTTGGAGACCCTTGGAGCATGGGGCAAGTGTGCTGTAAAGTTCCTCAAAGAGCTGGGTGAAAAGCTCATCATAGAAACCAAGGACCACAGGGCGACCAGCTTCTTCTTTCAGAGACTCAGTGTTGCGATCCAGAGATGAAATGCCTGCAGCATTCTGGGCATGCGGCCCACCACCGGGGAGCTGAACGAAGTATTCGAGATGTAGCTCTGAGTTACCTATGTTGTTTTACTTTCTACTGTATTTTTGTGAATGTTTTGTCAATGTATTTTGTCTTTAAATAAAATATATATTAAATATAGGGGGTGGTAGGAGAAAATTCTCAAACAGCTTCAGGGAGAACCTTGAGTTTTCCCTGAAGCAAGTTTATTCTTTTCTCTGAGGATGAGGGTCCCTATAACAGTTCCAGAGGTGGTACCTCCCTTTATATTATTATATATTTTTATATATATATATATATATATATATATATATTTATATGTCGTGCCGAATATGTAAAACTGGCCAATTAGCAAGAACTCATTTAAAATTAAGTCCTTTCTAAAATTTTCTCTTGTACGTTTAAAGATATATTTTTTCATTAATGTTAATGTAAAAAATTTTAATTTTGCACCAAAAGAATCTTAGAAAACTTACCTAACCTTATTATAACATGCATAATTTAACATTAAAGTTAGAAATTTTGCCAATTTTGATGATATTTTGTATCTTATTCCCAAAAATGTAGATATACACCATTTCCTTGGAAAATTAAATAGCTTAGCCCATTCTATAAACTTTACTGTTGAGTTTGAAGAAAATAACTCATTGCCTTTTCTAGATGTTTTAATTATTAAGGGTAATAATGAATTCAAATTTAAAATTTACAGAAAACCTAAAAAATAACTGTTCCTATGTCCACTATTATTCCTCGCATCAAGATAGTCAAACTGTCTGTTTTCTCATCAATGTTTTTGAGAGCTTTACGAATTTGTAGTCCTGAGTTCATAGATGAGGAAATATCCAAAATTTATGAAATAGGTAATGATTTCAAATACCCAAGAAATGTAATTGATAAATCTTTTAAAGTTACTAGAAATACTTTTTACAATCCAAAAAGGGACAACCAGCCTTATTCAACTAAAAATATATTGGTTCTCCCTTACCATGAAAACTTGGTTGATATGCCTTCTCTTCTTAAGACTTTTAATATTAAAGTTGTATTCAAAAATCTTGATACAGTAAAAAAACTTTTGATAAAGAATGCCCCCCAAAATGCTGATGGATGTGTCTATAAGATTCCTTGTAAAATTTGCAAAAAGTTTATTATGGTCAAACTGGTAAAAATCTCGAACTAAGATTAAAACAACATAAATATAGCATTAGAACTGGACAAGATTCCAATGCGATATTTATTCATGTAAGAGATTTTAACCATCCAATTGATTTTCAAAAAGTTGAGAAAGTAGTATCAAGCAAGTCCATGGTCGACAGGAATATAATTGAATCTTGTTTCATAAAAAGCAGTTTTGACAATAATATGAATATTTCCTTTGGTTTATATAAATTAGATCCATTTATAATTAATAGAATTTGGGAAGAATTTAATAATACACTGGACAAATAATAATTTTTAAATTTTCTTGGGTTGAATAATTTGTGGGTGAGTTGTGCAAAGGACCTATCCAGTTGGGTCGGCGCGCGTCAGGTGTTTAACCGTTGTGGGATCTGATAGTGAGGTGTTGGCCAGACCCCTTATATAGCTTCCTTGGATGCTTTACTTTCATAGTTCCCTGATAATGTGAGTAGTCACGAAAGCGCTTGGAATTTCTCTATTCTTTCAGAGTGGTTGTTTTGCATATATATATATATATATATATATATATATATATATATATATATATATATATATATATATATATATATATAATGTGTGTGTGTGTGGTGCCGAATATGTAAAACCTACGATCTTGGCTTAAATAGCAACGCTCATCTTGCCATATAGGACAAGCGAAAATTTGTGTTTGCAATAATTTCCCCAAAATCATTCTGAACCTAACGAAAAAAATATATTTCGTTTCTTTATTACTAAATTATTGTAAACTTGTATAAAATATATTTAGTTGGGCTAAGCTTAAATAAATTTTTCTTGTTATAAAAAGGTTAGGTAAGTTTTCTAAGATTCTTTTGGTGCAAAATTGTAAATTTTTACATTAACATTAATGAAAAAATATATCTTTAAATGTACAATAGAAAATTTAAAAAAAGACTTATTCTTAAATGAGTTCTTGCTAATTGACCAGTTTTACATATTCGGCACGACATAAACATATTTATTACTCACTATGATACCATGAACAGATTTAATACTATGATACCATGAACAGATTTAATACTATGATACCATGAACAGATTTTTTACTGTGATAACATGAACAGATTTTTTACTGTGATAACATGAACAGATTTTTTACTGTGATAACATGAACAGATTTTTTACTGTGATAACATAAACAGATTTTTTACTGTGATAACATAAACAGATTTAATACTATGATACGATGAACAGATCTACTGATGCAGCAGCTAGGGTTAGGCTTGGTTTAGAAGGACATATGTTACTGTTGCAGTTTTATAACTGTAGTGTAAAGCACCCTTATGGCAATACAGTGATGGAGTGAATGATGAAAGTTTCTCCTTTTCGGGCCACCCTCCCTAGGTGGGAAACGGCCGATGTGTTAAGAATAAGAATGTGCAACAGTAGGTTTTTTTTATTATTGAATTCTTTCGCCTACATTGTCGGCTTTTTCATACAAATGTTTTAGTAAAAATAAGAATAGGTTTTATACTCATGACAATATATGTTAACTATAATTTACTGGGTGAAAAAAATTTTTGATTTTATTTTTAAGTTCAGAAAGACGTATAGCATAATTTTTATATATACATTAGATATTTTAAACCTGAACCTAAGTCTGCGATAGCTGTGTGGGTTACTGGATGCCAGCAGCAACAGCCTGGCTGATAAGGAAATCAATAGTAAAGCAGCTAAACTCTGGAAAGCAGTTACAGGTATATCACACAACTTTGAAACTACGATTAACATTACAAGTTAGGTTGAAAGTGATAAGTAACGTTTACTACTGTTCGAAAAGTCGCAGTAACAATGTTGTTGTTAAATAATTATACATTTTCTGTGCCATGATCATGTAAGGAATTATATGTTGGTAATCTATACCTATTAATTCTTATCATTGAAGCAAAAACTGCAATATTTTAACATTTTTACTTAAGTAATGCTAATAAATAATATAGGTAATAATAATAACTAATACTAATAACTAAAGTGATTAAGTTAATAAGTAATAGTAAGAGAAAACTACTGTAGTTTAACTTCGTTAATTTCTAATATTCAACACATTATCGTTAATAATTTTCAATATTTACGAGATAATGGTGAGAATATTTAGTTTTATCTTCGGCCCAAAATCAATACTAATAAGTTTTGAGCAATGTGAAAAGATATTTTTTCTGAAACACTAAATAAGAATAAATAACATAACTGGGTATGGTAAAAATACAGTGATTAACAATATTCTGATTGCAATGGACCTTTAGGAACATAACTATAACGAAATTAAAGAGCTAACTTTAAAAGCCTAATTAAGTTAGAGGCTGGTTGAAGATTGGCTCCTGGGAGAGCCTTGTCTTGGTGTCTCGGCTTCCTTCAAACACTGTCAGAAGTTGGAGGTACTAACGCCAGGCGGAGACTCAATACATCAGTGTTTCTCGCAGATGTAACGCAGTTTAGTGCTACATGGTTTGCTCCAGTATCTGATAAGAAAAGAAATTTGAAAGTTATGAGCGGCCATAACTAAACTTATCTCTAAAATTGTGTTTGTCTAAGTATTTTAGAACATAACATGAGAAAGAAGGAACAATTCAACAGGCCTACTGGCCTATGAGAGGCAGGTCCAATTCTCCCACCGGCTTAAGCCAATGCCTTGACCTAGTGAGGTCAGACACGTCACTTAAGGGAGGAGCACGGCATCCGACCTAGTAGCACAAGCTAGTCAGGTCCAACTCACACACACCCACACCCACTCGTATATTTATCCAACCTATTTTGAAAACTACACAACGTCTTAGCTTCTACAACGGTACTCGGGAGTTTATTCCACTCATCCACAACTCTATTACCAAACCAGTGCTTTCCTATATCCTTCCTGAATCTGATTTTTTTCCAATTTAAAATCATTGCTGCGATTCCTGTCTATTAGATATTTTTAGCACTCTATTTACATCCCCTTCATTAATTCCTGCTTTCAGTTTATACACCTCTATCATATTCCCCCTAATTTTACGCCTCTCTAGTGAGTGTAGATTCAGGGCCCTCAGTCGATCCTCTGATACATTTGATCAACTTTGTCATCCTCCTTTGTACGTTTCCAGAGCATTTATATTCATTCTGTAATACGGTGACCAGAACTGTGCAGCATAATCTAAATGAGGCCCAATCAAGGATATATTGAGTTGACGTACAACCTAAGGAATTCTATTATTTATACTTCTTGCTATGAAGCCAAGGATTCTGTTAGCTTTATTGCGAACACTTATGCACTGTTGTCTTGGTTTCAGATTACTGCTAACCAGAACTCCTAAATCCTTTTCGCAATTCGTAATATTAATTTCTGTATTATTTAGTTTACATGCGGCATGGTTATTTTCCTGTCCAACATTTAGAACTTTGCATTTGTCTATATTAAACTGTATCTGCCTCTTCTCCGACCACTGCATCAGTCTATTCAAATCATCCTGGAGTGCTCTAATGTCCTCATTAGAATGAATTGGACGGCCTATTTTGGTGTCATCAGCAAATTTGCTTATGTCGCTATTTATTCCCTCATCTTTGTCGTTTATGTAGATTGTGAACAAGGGGCCTAACACTGACCCCTGTGGAACACCGCTTGAGACGTGCCCCCATTCTGATTTCTCCCCATTTATGCAAAGTCTCTCTATATTCCTTTGAAACCCTTGTAAACAGTTCATCAGGACCTGGGGATTTGTTAGGTTTTAATTTCTCTATTTGTCTGAGGATCATGTCGCTAGTTACCCTAATCGTGCATAGTTTATCATCCTGGTCTACATAATTTATTACTTATGGAATTTCGCTAGTATCGTCCTGAGTAAACACTGAGAGGAAGTAGGTATTGAAAAGCTCACACATGTCCTTATCACTGTCAGTTATCTGATACGAGTTACTCTTAAGTGGGCCTATTTTGTCCCTAACTTGTCCCCTAACCTTATGGGTTAGTCTTCGAATCTCTTGTGACTTTAGCCTGATCGTCTCTTTATTGCTTTTCTTATTCCTTTTTTTATTTATCTCTTTAATTGAATACATATTGATTTCTTAACTGCCCATCGCCCTTCCCTTTATATAAAGGAACTATACATGCTCTCTGCCAATCCTTTGGTACCTTCCCCTCTTTCATACACTTATTAAACAAAAATATCAACCACTCCAACATTATATCCCCCTCCCTTGCTTTTAACACTGCTGTCATAATCCTGTCAGTTCCAGCTGCTTTACCCCCTTTCATTCTGTGTAATGCCTCACGTACCACCCCCACACTCACATCCTGTTCTTCTTCACTCCTAAAAGATGGTATACCTTCCTGGCCAGTGCATGAAATTACCGCCTCCCTTTCTTCATCGACATTTAGAAGTATCTCAAAATATTCCCGCCATCTACTCAATACCTCCATCTCCCCATCTAGCTCCCCTACTTTGTTTTTAACTGACAAATCCATTCGTTCTCTAGGCTTCCGTGTTTATCTCACTCCAAAATTTGTTTTTATTTGCATCAAAATTTCTTGACAGTGCCTCTCCCACTCTATCATCTGCGCTCGTTTTACTCTTTCTCACCACTCTCTTCATCTTTCTTTTACTCCCTGTATACTCTGCTCTTCTTATAACTTCTCTTTTGTAAAAAACCTCTCATAAGGTACTTCTTTCTCTTTTATCACACCCTTCACTTCATTCCACCAATCACTCCTCTTTCCTCCTGCACCCACCCTCCTATAACCACAAATTTCTGCCCCACATTCTAATACTGCATTTTTATAATTATTCCAACCCTCTTCACCCCGCCCCCACTACTCATACTTGCACCAGCCCACCTTTCTGCCAATAGTTGCTTATATCTCACCCAAACTTCCTCCTCCATTAGTTTATACACTTTCACCTCTCTCTTACTTGCTGTTGCCATTTTTCTTTTGTCCCATCTACCTCTTACTCTAACTGTAGCTACAACTAAATAATGATCCAATATATCAGTTGCCCCGTGGCAAAAGCTCTCTCTTCACACCACGAGGGTCCGGGCTCGATTCCCGGCGAAGGGGTGGAGACATTTTACATGTTTCCGTACACCAGTTGTTTTTTTTTTTTTTTATTCGCCGGTATTCTCCCGGCCCGGGTCTTTTCCAAGTAGTGGTGACCCGGCCTTGGCTCCTTCTCTGGGGAGTGTCTCGAGACTTTAGTCTCCCATGGGAGGAGGTACAAGTACCCCCTCATCTTTGAGACCAACTGTCCCCAGGCCTAGCCACATTCCCCGCCCTCATGGGGCTCGTAGGGAGAAGCTAGGCCTTTGGTCTGCCATCTGCCCCACCAGTTGTCTATGTTCACCCATCAGTAAAATGGGTACCTGGGTGTTAGTTGACTGGTGTGGGTCGCATCCTGGGACAAAACTGACTAATTTGCCCGAAATGCTCTGCATAACAAGCGGCTTTCTATATAGTGGTATGTTATTGATGTCAGCTACGACTGTATACCTTGTGATGAATGGTTTGAAAAACCGACAAGTTGAAGATTGAGACACTTACGCAGCATATGGGAATCTTTATTCAGGAAACGTTTCGCCACATAGTGGCTTCATCAGTCCTCTTTGTATTGGACTGATGAAGCCACTGTGTGGCGAAAAGTTTCCTGAATAAAGATTCCCATATGCTGCGTAAGTGTCTCAATCTTCGACTGTATACCTTGTACATGTACTTGTAGTAAATAAAGATATATATATATATATATATATATATATATATATATATATATATATATTATATATATTAATATATATATATATATATATATATATATATAGTAATACTTATTATTCTTACTTGAGTGTGATTGAGCAGAAGTAGGCGCAGTGGTCGGCATAGTTGCCATTCTTCCAGCCCCACCAATTAGGATTCATTGAGCCTCCTGTTCCTGTCCAGGTCCAGTGGCCAGAAATCACTGCTCCTGATGTCCAATATGTTCCAGGATCTAACCAAAATATTGCATCAAATATCAGGATATTATCAAGAAAATAAAATTCTACTGCTATGCCTTCACACGTTTCTATTAATATATCCAGCATAATAACAATATTTAGAATAAACTCCAGTTTCTTCAGTTTACTCTAAATATCGGATATAATTCCTTGTTTACAATTTTTCATAAAGTGAGGAAAAAACATATATGAAATTCATCCCCCCCCCCCAGTCCAAGAAAACAGTGAAATACTATTTTGAATTATATTTTATGCATTTATTTCAGTGCAATCACTATTCAATTTAATAATTTATTGCAATCTAAATATTAACATCTACCTAATATATAATCAATTACGTTAACAAAATCTATCAAAGAAATTCTATTATTATTTTTAATTATTTTTCTTGAGGGTATAGGGTAGGAAGGAGAGACTTCACAGTAATGTAACTTACAGTTGCCGTTCATGTGAGCCAAGAGACCGTTGTACTGGGCGTAGGTGAGGACGGAGACTAATTTCGCATTTTCGCTGCTGCAGACTTTCTTAGCATGCCACCAGGTCTCCCAATCCTGGTGAAATCTGTAGCAGCCTCCAGCGATGTTGATGTATCCACCGGTACATCCTGCCATAACAATGGATTATCAGTTAACGAATACAAGTATGACTGTGAACAACAAGTGGAAAAAAATATATGCATAGGAAAAGGAGATCTTTCAATATTACAAGAGACTTTATCCGTAGTAGCCACTGATAACGCCTCTTGTAGTAGTTAAAGATCTCCTTCAGCAATACCTGATTTGTTATCATGTAATCAGAAAATTACAAATAAATTTGATGGAATATAGTGTGAGTGTGGAAAACTAATGTTTTATTAATAACAAAAAGGTAGTCCCAAAGGGGAACCTTTCTTTGGATGCCTGATTTTTTTCTTTTTATATTTTTTTTTCCTTCCTTAAAGCTTTCGTTTATAAGTTCAGAAAGTTTTAACTGATCGGCTTCAGCATTTCAACACCGGTTTTCTGAATAAGGGAAATGGTTCCTGCAAATATTATGGACAGTTGTGGGTTCCTTATGGTCATTCTCGTGTAATATTTCCCCCTTCCCTAATTCTTTGTAAATACTATACTTAGGCAGCTGTTCCATATTAGTTACTAGATAGTGTCCATCAAGTTTAGTCTGTTTAGATACAAACTTAATATTTTATTAACATAGTTTAGACATAACTGAAACAGTAGTATCCAGAGTAATAACTGAAGAATGCTCCTCCTAATCGACTTCAAACTTTCACTGATGTTGCGGATTATTAAAGCAAGTTTGGCATTCACATGGAGCTGCATAATGTTAAATTTGCTAATTTAATT